TGTTATTCTGAGAACCCCCCACCAAAAAAAAAAAAAAAAAAAAAAAAAAAACGCCAAAAAGAATTCCTTTGCCCACTGCCACATCAACTCTGATGGTCCACCTAAGATGGAGTTGACCAGCCCTCCCTGTCTCACTTCTCCCTACACACAGCAGTTTGAGCATTTTTGGTTCACAACTACTGCCTAAAAAGCATCCTCACAGCTCTGTACATAGTCTACATGTTACAGAGAGGCAAAGAAATGTGAAAAAATGATCTCTACATAGTCTACGTGTTATAAACAGATAGATAGGCAAACAAAAATTTTAAAATGGAGGTTATCAAACTTATTATTAACTAAATCAGGACACATCAAAGTGGTATTAGACACTTTTTTAATGACAACAGATGGTGATTTATACAAATTACAGGTTAGGATATAACAAATACAAAATCCATTCAGATAATGGTTAGAAAATCATCACTTATAAAAGTAATTCTGATTCAAGTGGCTAAAGAACTCAAGCCCCCCATTTCGGTAATTACACAGCTTGATAGGTAGTGCATCTACATCTTCCCCCTAGTCAGGGCACTACTCGATTCTACAGCACAGTCAATGACTCTACTGACTTAAAGATTCTAACACTTTTAGTATCGATGTCAAAAGACATCTTGTAACAGGTTCACTATGCAAAACTCAAATGAGAATGTGTGAACGTTCTTTGCAAACTGTAAGGTGCTGTGCAGATGTTGTTAGCTATTGCTATTGCTATTTTTACTGTTCAGTGAGACTTCACTGAACATGGGGAAAAGGAAGATTAGCCTGTATAAGTGACAAATATGATTTATAGGACATCTTAAAAGGAATGCAGATTTTACTTTCAAGTACACACAGCAACAACTCAGGCAAGTGTAGCCAGGAGTGATGTCGAGAAATTCCAGGCTATTTTAAGGAATATATAAAGGATTAAACTAGTCATAAATTACATGTGATATTTATTATTAGGTTTCTAAAGTCCCTGAAGCAATTTATTTTTTAAGGTGACCCTTTACCCTTGAAAAGGAAAAAGAAATCTTGTCAAGGTATCAATGTGCTACTTCAGTCCAGCTCTTATAAAATTATCTTAAACATAAGAGTTCAAATTAATTTTGTAGTACTCAGGTGGACAACTCAGAGCATCTGACAGACAAGAAACGTGCCATTGCCCTAAGACAAGTGACAAATTCTGTGCCATAGTTGAACCATTTATCAAATGGGTCTAACAATAGTCTACAACTTCACTTAAGACATAAATTAAACAATACACATGAACTTGGCTTGGGACAAAAAAATACACACTAGAAACATTTAAAATAGGACTCCAATCCTTTATTTCATGTACTTGCAGTTTTGACTGTTTTTACTGGTCTCCTTTGGGTACTCTATTTATCTAAAATTTATATGAAAGTGGAAAATAAACACCAAGCAATTCAACCAGTTGCTTCTTTCAGCAAAGTGAATGCAATTTTTACAATGAAAACATTCCTATAATTACAATGCATTTCTGTTAAAATCCCAGGAACAGAGGAGTGTTTTTAATGGCAGGTTTAAATGTCTTCACCAAGAATCAAATTCTAATGCTCTATATGCAAAATGGTATCCATGTGAAAAGCTTATGACATCAGATTCAGATGCATTCTACAGCACTTTTCATTATTCATCACAATGAGGGAAACAGGATGACATTCTGGGGGGCGAAATAGGTGATGAGGAGGGTAATGTGCTACAGTAAATGAGGTTCAATCAGTAGCTTGGGTTGACACTTGAAGTTACACTTCCTAATTGAGGCTATTCTTACAGTCAGTTTTCAAACAACAATGAACATATTTCCACCTTAAAACATTTATAAGAGCTCACCTGTAGCTTCCCTTTCTATACATATTGAAGTATATACATTGTGCAAGAAGAAACCAGTGAGATTATCTTTAAAAATAAATCTATTTGTCAAATACCGTGTTACTTAACATAGTTAAGAAGAGCAGCAAACTAGTGAGTAAACAGTTCAAAGTCTAGGAAAAAACTAAGTTCTTTGAAAATAAGCCTATTTTGTAATAATCCTACATATCAATCCTAACATACAATTTCAACTTTCAAACACGTGGTTTTTTTTTTTCCAAGAGAAAATTATAACTGCATGTATCCCTGGGTTAAATAATTGCAGGAAAATACCCATATCGTTATCTACTCAGCAAATGTCTGAAACCAAACCAAAGAATTGAACAATGGACATCAATATTTTACAAACAGCAAGAGATACCAAAAGTACAAGAAAAGCCTTGGCATTATATAAAAAGAAATTAAGTAGACAATTCTAAGTATAACAGGGCATCTATAGAGGAAACATCTATAAATCTACAACCCAATAGCCTGGACTCAAATATTATTACATGAAATTGTAGGCCTTACAAAACAAAAAACACTTTACATTTAGGATAACTGCTTGAAGACATTTAAACTGTAGATAACGCTTAACTCTAAGAATTAAAAACATTCCTATAGTAATCATACCAATCTTCTATTTTTCTCAACAATTAAAGAAACACAAATGCCTAATGAACCTTTATGCCTAACCATCTCTTTATTCTTTTAGCTCAGTTCTATAAGTTTAAAAAGGACAACAAATAAGTTGGTAATGGCCAACACTGAAACAAGGGTCATTGCATTAGGATGATCAGTAATAGGAAATCTGAATTTTAAAAGAGTAAAGGCAGAATACACTTTTTCAGAAAATGGCCAACAGTCACTTGTCTGAAATAATACAAACAGCTGTCGGGTAAAGTTGGCAGAACTTTAACTTAAGTCAAACTTCCAGTCTGCACTCAGGATGTAAAGCAAAATAGTGGTTATCTACAGGAAGAAAAATGTGGGAAACTATAAATTTCTTCCTATTTGAATATGCATGCTTTTTCCCCCATTTTCTACAGAGAACATATCTTACAGTTCTATAGTAAAAGAAGTAACATTTCAGGAAGTGTTTTTAGATTGCACAGCAACAGCACTGAGTGGCGCTGCCAAGGACACAGGCTAAGGATACTAAAGTCAAATTACAGGGCTTTTGGTTTTGTTTTCCATCACAAAAGATCTCCAGGATTAAAATAGACGTTTATAGGCCACAACTTAACTTTGATGAAAATGACCACTAGACTAGCTATACCAAGGAGAATACCTAAGTGATAGAAACAGGCTGTTTTAGGATTGTTTATTCTCCCAATGTATGTAAAAATGGACACATCTGTGTAAATTCCTCTTATATATAATAATAAAAAACACACACAGGAGGAAAAACTATTTTAAACGGAGTTCCAGCACACCTTGTAAGTGTAGCCTAACTTCCCTAACTTCAGTGTTGAATGAGAGAGCAACGCATATCATCTAAAGGTTCGTCTACAAATCACAAAGGTAGCCTGCAAAGGACCCATGCAAAGCTGGCTGAGTGCTGAGCAGCCAGCTCTTCGCTTTGCTCTATGTCCTCTGTACACCTTTCATATGAAGCGGTGGGAATTAGCCCAGCTACCCCACATAATAACGTAATGCAAGATTCCTACTGACCAGGGATTATACTTTATGTGAAATTCCTCAGTGACATTCAAGTTCATTCCAGTGTCTACAATTTAAGCAACTTTCCACAGGAAATAAAAATTCCAAGTCCAAGGAACTGGCATTTTCATGACAGTTAGAGAAAATGTTCCAGCATAAGATCAAGTTTAGATCTGCTTCACTGTGAACATCTTAATAACTCAAAAGCAACTGTAAGACAAAAATGCTATGAAACATTTTCATTTGCTTTAAGATAATCAAAAACTTCCCAGAATGTGTAGCTAATTTAACATATCTGTAAACTAATTTGACTTTTCTAAATTCTCATTTGCAAATGAGAGACTCACACAGTTAAAGCAGATTTTACAAACTACTGATTAGAAGGATCAAAATTTACACTATTCAAACGTGACTCTTTCAAGTTTATTCAAAATCATTGATGCCCCCAGAAGCATTTACCATTTTAAAAAAAACCACTTTAATGTTATCAAAAGGTGATGTTCACTTTAATCCTGTTTGCCTTCGCGCCACTGTCGTGAGCCTTCATTCCAGGCCACATACACAAAGAGGGCCAGCACCACATGGACGGCGACCACTGCCACAATAGCAGCATAAAAATAGCTGTCCCTATTGGACATCCCAAAGGCGCCTATCAAGAGAAAAGAACAGTTTCTGCTTTATTCCAAAAGTTACTAAAGTACAGAAAAACAAAGCACACTAATTGTTATTAGCTATATATTCATTTAACTAGACAGGCAACAAAAAATAATACTTTGGCTGGTAATAAATGTTTGTTAAATTATTTGAGTATCTTCTATATACTAAGAACATTATTTTAAACAGAATCATCTTTGTCCAAGGACTTCAACATCAAAAAGGGGACTTTTTTTCCTCTTCCTTCCAATGTCTGACACCAAAGTTCATTCCCTCCAGGTTCCTCGTCCCATGTCAGCCAATCCCTGCTCTCAAAGGGATACTTAAAAAAAGCTAAACTTCACAGAAAACCATAAACAAATAAGATGCCAAGCTGAAATAACTACAAGAGATGAAAAGGTTCATGCCATGACTAAGAAGATTCGTTATGAACAATGTGATCGCGCCACTGTCGTGAGCCTTCATTCCAGGCCACATACACAAAGAGGGCCAGCACCACATGGACGGCGACCACTGCCACAATAGCAGCATAAAAATAGCTGTCCCTATTGGACATCCCAAAGGCGCCTATCAAGAGAAAAGAACAGTTTCTGCTTTATTCCAAAAGTTACTAAAGTACAGAAAAACAAAGCACACTAATTGTTATTAGCTATATATTCATTTAACTAGACAGGCAACAAAAAATAATACTTTGGCTGGTAATAAATGTTTGTTAAATTATTTGAGTATCTTCTATATACTAAGAACATTATTTTAAACAGAATCATCTTTGTCCAAGGACTTCAACATCAAAAAGGGGACTTTTTTTCCTCTTCCTTCCAATGTCTGACACCAAAGTTCATTCCCTCCAGGTTCCTCGTCCCATGTCAGCCAATCCCTGCTCTCAAAGGGATACTTAAAAAAAGCTAAACTTCACAGAAAACCATAAACAAATAAGATGCCAAGCTGAAATAACTACAAGAGATGAAAAGGTTCATGCCATGACTAAGAAGATTCGTTATGAACAATGTGACTTTTTGAAAAGCAAACCAGAAGAAATTTTAAGAGTAATCAGTTTAGATATAAAGAGCTCATAAAAGCACAATCTTGAATGAGTAAGAGAGAAGATGTCTTGTTTTATGGGTCTGGGATTACCTTCAAATACATAAGATTTAGTTGTGAAATATAACCCAATCGGAACAGTGATCATTAAGGCCGTGAAGAATAGGAGCGTCTTCAGGGTGGATGCTAATGAACTTTCATTTCTGGAATAAAGTAAACAAAGAGAAAAATCAGAACCTGCGCAGTCATATCCAAACACTCTTACATCAGAATCCCATAAACACCCACGATGAGATGCTGCACACTCTGCCCCTGCCTTGGAAGCAGAGGCCAAGGAGGAGGAGCAGAGGCAGGCACTCATCATCACAAGCTGTGGCACTCACAATTCCACCCACTTGCATGTGGGGATTTATACTACTACCTTAAGAAACTGTCATTCAGCTCCAGTGTGAGGAAGTGTCCGAGTATTAAAGTGGGTCATGATCTCCGAAGTGCTATATAAATGTACATCGTAATTACAGAATTTACAATCAAGGTAGTGGGGGAGCCACCAATGGATATCCTATCAAAGGCTAGTTGAACGCAGTACAAACATAAGACTCTATCAAGGAAAAGCAGCCTAGAATCCAAAAGCAGCTGACAGAAACTTACGCAAAACTTCTTTGTAAATAAATAGCTATAGTTCATTCAGATGGTGTCCATATAACACAGATACATTAAAAGTTTGAGATCAAAATAATTTATGTCCCATGAATTCTAAGAACCAGCAATGAAAAGAGTAATACAATAGTACAAAGAAACAAAACTGGGTAACATAAAAATGTTCAATAAGAAAATGGTTTCATAAATTATATACACCAGTTACAGAAACATTAAAAACAATTTTGATGATTATAAAGAAAATATTCATGTGACAAATGAAAAGGGCAGATTACATGTGTGTATGTTGTGTGTATTATGTGTGTATGTCAGGCTTCTGTGAAATAAAGCCTGTAGCCTCACCATCTGTTTCTGTAAATAAAGTTTTATTGCCACCTAGCTACACCCATTTACTCACATAGTATCTGTTGCTGCTTTGGAGCTATGAAGGCAGAGCTGAGTACTTGCTCCAGATCACATGGCTCCCAAAATGGAAAATATTTTCTATCTGGCTCTTTAAAGAAAAATTTTGTTGACTCACATTTTTCATACTATTCCAATTATGTTAATAATGTATGTACAGAAAAACGGACTCCAGGTTAACATACCAACTTAGTTTGTCATTTTCTAAAGTTTCCTTAGTGAAGTTTTACTGACTTCAAAAAGTGTAATAGATACACTGGGCCAATAAGTGGCACGGTGGTTAAGGTGCTGAACTCCCATATGGCTGACTGTGGTTCAAATCCTGAACCTGGGGGCTTGCTTTCTCAGCTCCCGCTCTCTCTCTCTCTCTCTCTTTCTGGTGAGTGCACATGCCCTATAGCAAAACATAAAAATAATTAAAATAATAACAATAATAAATAAAACAAATATTTTTAAAAGTAGATATATATATATGCCCAGCATTTGTATTCTGCATTAGTACAAATAAGCAACACTACTGAACACGAAGCTGTATAAGTTACCAGCAACCCTGGACACGCACATACCTCATACGTTATAAAAGCAACATGCCATGTAGCTTTAATCATTCAGCTTAAGGTCCTTTTTGGTTAAAAAAATTTAACCATCCTTAGACTACCTTTACAGACTTCTAACTTTATGCTCACAGTCAACACCTTGAACTTAATTCTGTTTCTAGTAATCTTCAGCTGAAGGAGCAGTGAAGTTTTTATTGGTATCCTTTGGTCAGAGACAGACCTGTCTTCAAGGCCCTCTGAAAGTAGCCTCTCTTCCATAACTTTCCTTGGCCAGCTTGGATGAGTTTGTTGTTCTGAGGTCCAAAGGCACTTAGTTTCTACCTGTTATTACAGCATTTTAAACATATTTCTGGTAGAGGACCAGAAGGTTTGTAACTCTTTCCTCAAACTAAGCTCAACTAAGCCAAATCACCACTGTGAGCACAAGATGCTCATGGTGCTGCACAAGTTTTATTTCAATTCATGTTTAGAGTAAAAAGAAAGCAGAAATTAACCTCTTGCTTCCTAGATATCCCTGCATATTCCTCTGTATTCTTACAAAGTGTGAATATAGAGTTCTTATAGCTGTGTGTACAATTAGCTGGGAGATCTCTGGCAGCTCAGAAATGAAGAATATATCTCAAGTTTATATCAATGGTCTACAAATTGTTGATTGTGCAATCTATTATTAAATAGAATTTCTGAGCACATAGCCTAATATAGGCATATTGACTTTTTACAAAGTAACTATGAACCTCTTGCTGATATATTCTTAACAATATAAAACACAAGTAAAAACAGATCATTTTAAAAGGTTAAAAATAAATTTTAAAAGTTCTTGGAAGTCAGCAAGATGGTCAACTTGAGGGGCCTGATGCTTATCCCCCTCACAAAAGCAGACCAAAACAATGAATAAACAAAGGACATTCCAACCACACTGACTAAAGGGGAGAGCTGGAGTACAGCAGAAAACCTGTGGCGCAGACTGAAAATGGCTGCCTGCATGAGAAGGGGAAAAAAAACCACCTTCCAGCCACATATCTTCCCACCCCCTTAGGTTCAAGAAAGACTTGTAGTTGCAGGAGGGAAAGTGAGCAGGAGGACCCAGTGACCCCCACTGCTGCCCCAGACACCTGTAGTTCTTAGAGACCCTGAGCACTGTCTTGGGAGCTGGCCAGAGTTGATATAGTCGACAAGCCCCCTAACCCCAAGATGTTACTGCACTGCACCATCACGAAATGGGGCCCACTGGATACTGCTATGGGGCCAGCAGCTCCAGGATCCCTGCATCTCTGCAACTGCTGTCCCTGTACCAGACTCACACCCAGGCAGCGCACCATTAATTCCCCAGTAAGCTACCACAGCCCCTACCTGCTGAGAACAAGGCGGCGGAAGGCACTTCATCCCCCACATCCTAGCTGCGGCTGTGGTAGCCCCAGCTACTCCTGGCTTAAGCTCAGTAGGAGCAGGTACACCTCATTAGGACCCAGACCAACCTGATGCCGGGATCCAGGAATCTGGAACAGGATCAGGGGCCCATGAGAACTACAGGAAATAGTGCTAGACCTTGCACAGCAACCAGTCCCCATGGACCAGCGGACTAGCTGCCTGAATCGGCAAACGTCACTGGTGAAGGCACCAATAGGGCGTTACCCCTCCCCCATCAGTTTCCACAGAGAAGCCTAGAAATCTCGGGGCACCAACTCCAAAGGGCAAGCGGACAAGCCATCTAGCTGGCGGGACATCCGTGATATGTATGCCACCCCCATACCGGAATCACAGTTTCCGCAGAGGGAAACCATGGAATTGTGGGATGCCGAGTCCCCAGGGCTTGCACCACAGGATGCCATTCCCATCCCAGAATCACAGTTTCTGCATAGGGGAGCCACGGAATCGCAGGACACCGAGCCCCGTAAGGACAACTGAGTACATCGATCGGCTGAGCTAGCGGATCACCTGTGGCATTTACAGTAGATGCCATCCCCACCCGGGAATCAAAGTTTCCACACAGGGAAGCCTCAGAATCATGTGGCACCGAGTCTCCTAAGGACCAGCGGACAAGCCGGCTTAACTGGTGGGACATCCGTGGTGTGTGTGCCATCCCCACCCTGCAATCACAATTTACACACAGGAAAGCCACGGAATCGCGGGGCACTGAATCTCCCGGACTTACGCCCACAGGATGCCATCCCCACCCTGCGATCACATTTTCCGCGTAGGGAAGCTCGGAACCGCGGGACGCCTAGTTCCCTACGGACTACTGAACATGGCGGCTGAGCTAGCGATTCGTCTGTGCTGTCTACGATGGACGCCATCCCCACTGCGGAATCAGTTTCCACACCAGGAAGCCTCTGAATCGGGCGGCACCAAGTCCCCTTAAGGACAAGCGGACAGGCCGGCTAGCTGGTGGGACATCCGTGGTGCGTGTGCCATCCCCATACTAGAAACAGTTTCCGCACGGGGAAGCCAATGAATCACAGGAGACCGAGTCCCTCTAAGGACTACTGAACATGTCGGCTGAGCTAGCCGATGGTCTGGGGAGCCTACATTAGATGACATCCCCACCTCGGAATCAGTTTCCACATAGAGCAGCCTCAGAATCGTGGGACACTGAGTCCTGAAAGAGCCACTGAACAGGTTGGCTGCACCAGCGGGTCGTCTGTGGTGCTTACCATAGATGCCATCCCCACCCCAGAATCAGAATTTCCGCATAGGGAAGTCGAAAATGCGCAGAATCTGTTTCAGCACTGGGAAGTCTTGAAAACGTGCAGCACAACGGAGACAGGCCAGCTGGCTGGCAGGGCATCTGTGGTGTGTGCACCAGCAGGGTGCCCTCCCCACCGGGGGAAATCAGTTTTCACACAAGGAAGCCTCGGAATCCCTGGGGCACCAAGTCTCCTATGATCCAGCAGAGCTACCCGCTGACACAATGGAGCCTCCTTGGTGCCTAGAATAACCTGGTAAATTCATTTTCCCATAAACATTTCTAAGTTTTATCTACATTCTTCCATACACATAAAACATTCTCTACAATAGACCGTATGCTAGGCCACAATAAAAGTCTTAATAAATTCAAGACTGAAATCATTTCCAGTACTGTTTCTGACCACAACAGTATGAAAGTAGAAATAAATAAGAGGAGGAATTTGCACATTCATGAATACACAGAAATTAAACATGCTCCTGAACAACCAATGGATCCAAGAAGAAAACAAAAGAGAAATTAAAAAAATATATCCTGATACAAATGGTAATGGAAATATAATTGATCTAAACCTATGGGATACAGGGGGAAAAAATCTGCATTCGTTTTTATTCTATTTCTCTCAGAAGGGAGACAGAGATAGGCACTCCCAACGAGGTTTCACACCGTGATTTGCCCCCAGTCTCAGCCGGCATGGGTCACGGGTCACATGTGCATTTGCCTGGTGGGCTCTTGGAGGTCCCAGAAGGCAAACACAGAACCTTTCCCATGTGGGTCAGCTGCATTACTGCTGTATCACCACCGGGCCTACAAAAAGCATGAGGTAAGGTTTTTCTGGCTTTGTTTTTAATTTTTAATGACAGAGTCTCACCATGTTGTTATCCTCCTGTCTCAGCCTCCGGGC